GGCTCCCTGCTCAGCGGGGAGTCTGCTTCTCCCTCTGATCCTCCCCCCCTCATGCTCTCTCTCTCTCTCATTCTCTCTCTCTCTCAAATAAATAAATAAAATCTTAAAAAAAAAAAAAAGAATTACACACAATTGGTAAAAGCATGAAGAGTGTATTTCTTAAATTTAGTTTTGTTGCTTTATTGTCTTATTCTTCTGGATAGTTTTATCTATTAATAGTTGATTATCTATTAAGGTTTAAGTTTTATAAAACAGAGAGTACATGTAGATGCATATATAACACAGTTCTCTAGGTTTTTCAGGAATCCAGTATTAATTTTCCAGCTTAAACACATTAGCTAAATGTACTAACAAGTGATATTCCCTGTCATTCTAACTGTATTAATTTAAAAGAGAAGAGTACCATGAGGCAAGATATGTGAGTAAACTTGGAAGGTACTTGGCAAAATGGCCATACCTGCTGCTCTGCAGTAAGTTAAAATGGGGGCCGATTACTTCACTTTAATCTATCACATTAAGGAGTGCGGTTTGAGTATTTGACTGCCCTCTTTATTATCTAGAATTTGTACCTATTTTTTGGCAAAGCCATCAGACTGTGTTAATACTTTCAGTTTTCAATTGGTGGGTTTTTTTTTGATGGGGGGTAGATTTTAACTATTCTCATCTAAAACCTTTGGCAAGATGTCAGGATATTGCATTAAGATGTGAAATCACAGCCGAGACAACCTGTTTCAATGACGTAATACTTACAGTTTTAAAGAGTACATCTTTAAGATAACAATATAGTAATAACTACAAATTAATGCATTTTAAGTGAAATGCTTTATGAGAAATATGAATAACAAAAGTAAGCATAAAAAATTACGAAAGGTTTTCTTACCTCTGAACTGTAGTTACCAACTCCTTTTCTTTCTTTTTCTGGCATATTAGCTGTGCCTCTTTTTCTTGACACTGTTTTTTGATCTCTTCAAGTTTTTTTTCCATATCTAGGAGAGTCTCTTGCAAATTCTTATTTTTTTCTTCTAGAACCTGAAGCTAAGAAAATTCATAACACATAGAATATTAAATGTGTTTCTACTAGAAACTGTTACAGTGTTCTCAATTAACAGGCTTGTGGTTAAAATCACACTATACTTTATCTAGAGTATTTAATAATACTTTATTTCCTCTTTTGTGTGTAATGGGAGCTAGGAGAATGAGATTATGGAGAAAAATGGGGTCAGAAATTTCTAGAAGACAGGCGTGCCTGGGTGTTGCAGTCAGTTAAGCAACCAACTCTTGGTTTCAGTTTAGGTCATGATCTCAGGATCTTGGGATTGAGCCCAGCCTCAGGCTCTGCACTCAGTGTGGAGTCTGCTTAAGATTCTCTTCTCCCTCTGCCTCTCCCCCACCATGCTCGCTTTCTCACTTTCTAAAATAAATAAAATCTTAAAAAAAAAAAAAAAAAAAGGAATTTCTAGAAGACAGATATAGAAAGGTAAATGATCTCAATTTGGGGGTATTTTTAAAATTTTATTTTTAATTATGGTAAAATATGCATAACAAAATTTACCATCTTAACCATGTTTAAATGTACAGTTCCACAGTGTTTAAGTACATTCACACTGTTGTTCGATGAATCACCGAACTCAAAACAAACTTTATGCTCATTAACAACTCCCTTTCCAGCTCTGCCTTCAGCCTCCAGCACCACCCTTTGATCTTCCGTCGCTATGAATCTGACCACTCTAGGTACTTCGTACAGTATTTATCTTTTTGTGTTTGGCTTATTTCACTTAGCACAATGTATTTAGGTTTATCCATGTTTCAGAATTTCATTCTTTTTTATATCTGAATTATATGTATGTGACATTTTATCCATTCACCCATCAGTGGAAACTTAGGTTGCCTCCACCTTTTGGCTACTGTGAATAATGTTATTATGAGCATATGTCATGTACAAACGTCTGTTTGAGACTTTGCTTTCAATTCTTTTACCCAGAAGGCAAACTGATGATAATTTTTTGAGGAAACACGGTTTTCCATAGTGGCTATACCACTTTACATTCCCACCAACAGTACACAAGGATTCTAATTTCTCCACATTGTCACCAATGCTTTTTGTTTTGTTTTTTTATGTTGGTCAACCTAATGGGTATAAAGTAATATGAACATGTTTTTATATCTATATTCCTCTCTGTTCCTACTCATACAAACTCCTGTGGTACTTCTTTAGTTCTTTTCTGACATTATCCTCTCTTAGTCTTATAATTTATAAATTAATATAGACAGAGAATCCATTCTAGGTCTAGAGTCTATACAACAATGACACTCCACGGATTAAACCAATGATTCCCAACTGAGAGTGATTTCTTCCGCCAGGAGATACTTGGAAATATTTATAGACATTTTTGGTTTTGGGGAGGGAGGAGGGTAGGAGCAGTGCTATTGGCATCTAGTAGGCAGAGGCCAGAAATGCTGTTAAGCATCCTTCAATGCACAGGACAGAATCCCAAATGAGAAATTATCCACCCTTGAATGTCAATAGTGCTGAGGTTGAGAATTTCATGATGAGAAAAACTGAGAAAAGACTGAAGAATGGGTTTAACAGATTTATAAATAAGATTTCAAGAAGACGGGCTTCACCAGAGTTGGTAGAAAAGACTCAAAAGACTCACCAGAGGTATTGTTAAGAAAGAAAAATGGTCAGAAGAAATCAGAGGAGTGAATGGAGACCACAGACTAAGATGTAAGAATTTATGGAAAGGTTAAGAAGAATGAAAACAAATCAAATATCTGGAAAGATGGTTAAAAAAAAAAGGTCTTGTTGAGCTTTGGTGGATCACAGAGAATATTGGGTAAAGTCAGAACTGTGGTGCACCCGTGTGTGTATGAAATGGGGCTGTTAGACTGGTTTAGAAATTACCTTTTAGAGTAGATGTTAAGTAAAAAGTTAACACAGGTTTCTTAGGAAGGTAATCATGTATTAATAAGAAAGACAAACTCATGCTTAAATAAACAAAATTCTAATTGAAGTTAATCCTCAAAACAGCAATTAAACACATAGATTTAACATAATTAGCCAAACATGTAACTAAAATTTTAAATTATAAAAATTATGAAATTTCCAAAGGATCAACTTAAGAAAGTAGTAGGTTTTCATGTTATTTAAAGATGAGCATTTTAGGTGCTCGCTTCGGCAGCACATATACTAAGATGAACATTTTAGTTCATGTTACCTGTAGACTCTGACTCTGTACATCATCTAGAGTTGGAAGATCAGCCAGATACTTTTCCAAGGTCTCAATTCTTCTCTGCTTTTCTTTGTTTTGTTCAGATTCCTTCTGGCATTTCTTTTTCAGGCTACTGATATATCTATCTCTGGTTTTAAGCTAAAGAAAAAGATTATGAATCTTCAGGGGCTTTGTGGCATTAAAAAAATAATAATAACAAAACCAACAGTTCTAGGATATAGTTGAGGCTACCACCAACTCAGGTAAGATTCACCTTAATTCATCAATTCTAAGATTCACATTTTTACAAATTTTCGTATCACTGAAGTCAAGAGTTTTGAAATTTGTGTTTGTCTGCTTTTACAATTGATGGCCTCCTATACACTGCAGTGGACCAGCTAGCAGTAATGATAGTTTCTATTGCCAGCACATGAGCACACTTGGTCAAAGCTATTCCCATCTCTGTCATTTCAACCGTGTGTACATGTTGCAAATATGTGCTGAGTTTAAATGATGTTTAAATTACCTTAAAAACATTACATTATAATTTGGTGTTGAAAACAGTTACTGAGTATCCAGAAAGACAAAGAAACAGAGCCACAGGGTATAATTATAAAATCAGTGAAGCAAATACTCATTTTTGGAGAGAGGACTCCAATTCCTTATTTCTTACAAAGCTACATCCGAATGTTTTATGTGACTTAAGAAAGGAAGATACCTAACAAGCAATTAAAGCTGTTTTGTTACTAACTTGCTAAGAAACTGCTTGTCATGTACTCAAGAAACACAGTCAAAGCCAGGAGAACTTACCAAAATTACCAGATACTTTGGAAGAAATAAGGGCACTAGTAAGACCAATCCATACCTCAAGCCAAGACTACTGTTAAGGTATTATGTTATGTCAAAATTGAACATGCAACATATTTTCTTTCTCAAAATTACATATAATAAAGGTGTGCTGTACCACTGATGTCATTTTAGGACTGATGGAATTTGTTAATTGAACACCTACTACAGAACACATACAGTACATGATTCTAGTAAATCCCAATTTGTGTAGGTTAAACCTCAGATCTATGCACTAATTTTTTTCACATTTCTACTTGAAAAATATTATTTTTAAATTTCATATCATATATTCAAAGTTCTTTAATATTTCAGCTCAATTATAAATAATGTGTGTACTACAAATAGATACCTAAAAAGTAAACTCCAGATTCTTATTCACCTTAACTTACCAGTCTTCCAAAATTTAGAAACTTACAGGGTTCTAAAATATTTTTACAGCCTTTTCCCACATACACCAGGGAAAATAAGGGCCAGTAATTGGTAGTATAATGGTTTACTCTCCCAAATTTTATTAAAGCTAACACTTTGCACAATATAGTTTCTTTCATACCTTATTGAATTTTTTTCAAGTCCAATGTACAACAAATTGTATTAAAACAACTTCAATTAGAAAAACAAACCACATCTCATTTTATCTATTCATTCCATCAATAACATTAGGATCCATTTATTACCTTGGGTAAGAAGCAACGCTGGTAAAACTGACAAATCCTATTATTTATTGGAGATTTCTCGGGATTAAAGGCTGGTGTGCTGGTGTGACAATTTGTGATCTAACAGAACTCACAGACTGTTGACCCTGATAATGACCTGCAAGACCACATAATACAATGCCCTTTTTCCCCCTTTTTCTCTCTTTTTTCACTGAAGTATAATTAATATACAGTGCTATTTTAGTTTCAGGTGTACAATATAATAATTCAACCATTCTATACATACATTACTCAGTACTCATCAAAATAAGTGTACTCTTGATCCCCTTTATCTTTTTACCACCACCACCCCTCGCCCCCACAGCCTCTCAGGTAACCACCAGTTTGTTCTCTGTATGAGTCTGTTTTTTGGTTTCTTTTTTCTTTATTTGTTCATTTGTTTTATTTCTTAAATTCCATGTATGAGTGAAATCATATGCTATCTGTCTTTCATTATTTATTACTTATTTCATTTAGCATTATACTCCCATGTCCATCCGTGTTATTGTAAACAGCAGGATCTCATTCTTTTTTACAGCTGAGGAATATTCAGTGGTGTTTACATATACCACATCTTCTTTATCCATTCATTTATTGATAAACACTTGGGCTGCTTCCATATCTTGACTATTGTAAATAATGCTGCAATAAACACGGGAGTGCATATATCTTTCTGAATTAGGGTTTTCATTTTCTTTGGGTAAATACCCAGTAGGGGAATTATTGGATCGTATGGTAATTCTATTTTTAATTTTTTAAGGAGCCTTCATACTGTTTTCCACAGTGGCTGCACCAATTTGCATTCCTACAGACAGTGCACAAGGGGTTTTTTTCTCCTCACCAACACTTGTTGTTTCTTACATTTTTGATTTTATCTATTCCAACAGGTGTAAGGTGATATCTCATTGTGGCTTTGATTTGAATTTCCCTGATGATTAGTGATATTTAGCATCTTTTCATATGTCTGTTGCAAATGATATACCTAATAAAGAGTTAATATCCAAAACATACAAAGAACTTATACAACTCAACTCCAAGAAACAAGTAATATGATTACAAACTAAGCAGAGGATGTGAACACACATTTTTCTGAAAAAGACAGTAATTCCTTTTTTGAATATGAGGTCCAGAGATCTTAAGTAACTTAGCCACAAGTCACTGAGACAGAGGTGAGATTTAGATATAAATCATTTGACTGAAAGGCCAGTGTTCTTTCAATTCTTCCACACTACACACAACCAGATTTCCATGAATTCTCTAGCAACCAGCTGTGCCTGGATTCCCCATTGACAAAGCCTGCTCCTGCCTTAGCAAATGACCCTGTAAGTTACAGAAATAACTAACCAGCCTATTTTTACTAAAGGTTCCCTAATTTATTTTTAATTTTTTAAGTGTCTTAAGTGTGACACAATGATGTCCTGGTTTTCTTCTTTTTCTTTGGCTGGTCAACTGTCTTTTTTGCTATCAGGTCAACCTTGCTGCCTTTGACACAAATCTCTGCCAACACTCTCCAACTGGATACTATTTATGCTACTTGTTGACTGTAAGTTGATCACACATAATTACTGGGTCTTGGGTTTTTTCTTTTAGCCCTCTTCATTGACGAGAAGCTCTTTGTGTGTTTTTTTTTAACTTTCAAGTTTAACACGTTGATTACTAAAATCAACTCCAGTAATTACCTCCAGGTAAATGAGGTATCACTAATAAATCTTTCCTATTTATAAAAGGTTAGGTTTTTCCTTTAGAAGAGATATTATTTAGTACTGAGATTATTCCTAGAAGGTAATAGGAGGGCTCTGTTTCCAGAAAAGGTTTACAAATGAATATATTTTTCATTTTAAATACAATTAGAACAAAATAGATTACTAAGGAAATGTTTTCCTCCAAGTTTTTTTTTTTTAAATAAATTATTATTAGAAGCAAAGCATCGGCTGTAGAATTGAACGGTCTTGAATTTTACTCCTAGCTTTGCAACAGTTTCTACCTACATGCAACTGGACAAATTACTCAACTCTTCTCCAAGCTTCAATTAGCTCATTTTTAAAAATGGGGGTAGAGTATTTACACCTTAGGGTTTTTGTGAAGATTAGTTAATATTAAATGAGAAAATGTATCTAATGCACCTTCACATGCTGTCTGGCACATACAAGAAAGAACTTACCAAACAGTATAAATTCTATTGTTGTTATTATCACATTAAATGTTTTTCTGTTGTAGTATCAGTCTTGATCAGGATAACAGAGAGGAAATGCAGCAGGAAACAATGCAATCCAATCTCATGTGGGCCTAACATGCTGGTCAGTTGATGCATTACCCATGACTCTATTTACTAGCATCTATACTCCCTTCAAGAATTCAAATCATCTCCCGGCCTCTGACACAAACTCTACTATCTACACCAACCTTCCTTCTTAATTTTTCTGTTCTACACATTTCCATTCTCAACTGCCGAACTCCACAGAGAGACTATTCCTCTTTTCCAAAAGTAATCCCTCCATCTTGGCATCTGTAATCAACCTTTCCCTACTTATCTCAGGAATTTGCTCTATCATACACTCCTCTGACATCTTTGATTATCTCTAATTATTCTTTCCAGAGTCTTTTGCTGGGCTTACCTCACTCTCTTTTCTTCCCTCTTGGCAAAAATGTACTTGAAAGCATTCATACATTCATTCATTCATTCAGTATGCCAGGCACCATGGCTGGTGCTACATATGCTACAGTGACAAACAGATACGTCCCTGCCATCCTGGAGCTCACCGAGAAATATTACAACATAGTGATTATTCAAAATTGTGTTAAGCACTGGAAAAACAAGACGAAAATGCTCTAAACTTATGAAGGGAGGGGTTGGAGGAGAAAGATACGTAAGATGAGACTTGACAAAATAAATAGGCGACTGAGTAGTGGGAGAAGACAGTGAAGTATTTATCAGGCCAGGAGGAAACTCTGTGTCAAGACTCTGAGACCAGAAACAAATCATGACCTGTTTAAGCAACGACGAGCACTGCACCATGACACAGTGTACTCAAGGGAGACTGACAGAGCCTAAGGTTACATATTTATGCAGGCTCTTTCTGGCCATGGGAAGAATTTGATTCTTATTTGATTTTATTTATTTTATTTATTTTTTTAAGATTTTATTTATTTGACAGAGAGAGACACAGCGAGAGAGGGAACACAAGCAGGGGGAGTGGGAGAGGGAGAAGCAGGCTTCCCGCTGAGCAAGCCTGATGAGGGATCATGACCTGAGCCGAAGGCAGACGCTTAGTGACTGAGCCACCCAGGCGCCCCTGATTCTTATTTTAAAGACAACATCGAGGTGGCATTGCTGGGTAATGTAAGTGAAATGACTGGATCTTCCTTTTAAAAAAGTCAGTCCTCCACACTACGAAGAATGGCCGGGAGAACGTGGAGCAACTGGCTCTCATACACTGATAGTGGAAGTGTTAAATGATACAAACCCTAGAAGAACTCAAGTTTCTTTCTTTTTTTTTTTCCTTTTCTTTGTATCTCACAGGTACATTTATTCATACCACAAAGGAAACAGCACTTTCACAAGTGTACAGTGATGTGCCACACTCTCATCTACTAGAGCTTACTGAAATTTACAGCCAGGGTGACATTCCATCTGATGTGTACTCCAGGTAAAGCTGGTTAATGATAAGCAGGCCCAGGACTTGAAGATTTCAAAGTTTCACTTCTTTATCATCACTCTTGATTTTATAAATGATTAAGCCCATCAACATCATTCCTACCCAAATCTCTTGGTGAACTTGGGTATATTTGGGCTTCATAGGAATCTAAGCATTTTTAATAAGGCTTTGAAGCATCTCAGCACAGGACGACTGGCTCAGGGTGCCCCAACCCACACGGCCAACCCAGAAAGGTCACTAAATGTGCAGAATTCAGATAGTTT